CGGCGAGCACAAACTCAAGGACTGACACAAATACAGTAATCTCTCATGCTTTCAGTTGTGGATTTTACCTATTACTACGGGGACTCACAAATCGCCGCACTGGATATCCGTCTGGTGTGCAATGTGCAACTGTTGAGGCATGCAGGATATAAACAGACACTAAAAAAACTGAAATATTAACTTAATTAAATGTATTATATCAACATATTTCACATTACCATATTAGGTTATTGAAAGCAATAATATTAAAGGTCCCCTATTATACTGTTTTTCATCAATATATTATAGTTATCAGATCAACAAAACATGTCTCTGAAGTGTTTGGCTCCAAATACCAAACAGATCATGCATTGCAGCATGTCATATGTGTTTAAAAAGAACACAGTGGTGCTCTAGGAGGAGGTTTAGGTGATAATATGGGGGGGGGGCTACCTTGGTTGGTTATTGGGTAATGGTTACCAACAAAGCCAAACTAATCGTTATGACATCATAAAGTGGCCAAAATCTGATCAGCTCATTTTCTGATTTTTTTTTCATTTTTCGGTTTTTATATAAATGGTTCAGGACAAAAAGTGAGCGAATCTTTTTTCCTGAAACTTTCAGAAGCTCTTTTCACAGAGGGGACACATGTTTATGTAAAATATGTGAAAAAGTGGATTTTGCATAATAAGTGACCTTTAAGTTTGAATACAAATGATTAGGTTCAACTTAATATTATTGCTTTCAATTAACCTAATACAGTAATGTGACATTTGTTGACATAATACATTTAATTCAAGTCAACATTTCAGTTTGTTTAAGTCAAATCTGTTGGACTTCAGGAAATATGTATCTCATTAGAAAGCAGAGAGAATATGACTTTGGTACAGAGTTGTTTGCACAGGAACCATGTTTTCTAAATATGTCTTCCTTTATATTAAAGCTGCTCAGTCAAGGCAGGAATTCAGCCCTAATCACAGTTCACAGACGAGAACATTGGCACTGTTTATTTGCTTTTTGCTCAAACATTAAACTAGTTTATCAATAAATTATTCATTGTCTGTTTATATCAAATCTTCTAAGGGACGGAGCACGAGTTGTGGCGGTGGCTCAGCATGCAGATTAAATCATAAATGAGAAGCAGGTATTTTTCTAAAGGGCTTACGTTGCAGTGGAAAATAAAACTGAATGGCAGAAAGAGAAGTCATTTGAGTGAGTATAATGACTTGCTGTTGCTATGGTGTACGATGACACACAGCGTGAACACAGACGCAGAACAGTGACATTTAAGATGAGAACTTGGGTTTGTTTTAACAACAGACCCAGCTACCTTTCACATTTTAAGAAGCTATTTCGAGTTTAATTACAACATTTCATGGTCATTTTCAGTTTTCATCATGGAGCTTCTGTCTTTTTGCACATACAATTTGTCTCACTTGCACATACTCTGACCCATTAAAACTGCATCTGTGCATTTGACTTAATATGGACACGGAAGGCTGTCTTAATTAATAAGCAGGCATCCACCAAACTAATCTGCCTATGTTGTGAAGTCTGTCCTTTCCATTAAGTGGGACTCACATTATCTCCTAATCAAATTAGTCACTTAATTGTGGCCCTCCCTTGATGGATCCCATGAAAAAAGTAGCGCCGTGTTTGCTGGAGGGGGATGTGTGAAGATGGAACACGGCTGTTTCATTACGATATGAATTTTTTAATAACCAAAGCGTTCGCTGTCATCTCCTTGCTTTGAACCTTTGCGGAGGGTGAAGTTGAATTTGACATTTTATCCACTCTCACAGTGGAGTATCTAGCTGGTGTGTTGGGGCTAAGTACCTAGCCCAAGGCCACAACCCTAATTGCCCAACAGGGGATTGACCCCTGTCATCCACTGATCACTAGTCTGCTTTTTTAATCACTCCCCCACACCGCCTGCCTACCTGATCTTAGTCAATACATTATCTCCTTCAGCCCTGATATAACTGCTATTCCCAGAGTCATGATTAAGGAGTGAAACCTTATGTGCCCAAAGAACGCCACTCTCTCCGCCCTCGGCTGTTTAGATTGCCCCCCGGTAGCTCACGTTTAAAAAAAAAAAGGGGAGCCAAGGCTACCCCTGCAGGTTGTGGTGTCCAGCGTCCAAGGGGGGAAACCCCAGGCGTCTGATGAATGGCGGCATGTGTGGTCGTTTGTCCCGCTGATGGAGTTTTATCCCCTGCCCTTTCAGAGCGGCCAGACAATAAAGAGAGCCACAGCCAAGCGTGACAGGTTAACCCAACAGTAATAGAATACCCTTAATAGTCTGGCTTGAGCCAAAGTCTGCGACAGGGTCCGCCAAATTGCGCGGCTACGTCGGTGGTGAGAGTGCAGGAGGACCTGATACCGGCTCTCACTGTTGTTGTCAAACGGGGGAGCAAGGACAAAGAGGGCAGCTTGATGGCTTAATGGGTGGTTTGATGGCTTCATGGGGTGGAATTGAAGTTGGTGAGGGAAACAACGCTGATGAAACAGGGAGTGGGGGGCATTATACACAACGGAAATTAGCCATACAAACGTGACGTCAAACAACCATATCAATTATATATTTTATAGGAATCCTTGAGCTTTAGCGAGTTGGTATCGTCTCCCTCTGTCTCTTCATATGGTGTATGATTTATAGCGGGTGCCATGACACAGTGGGGATGCCTGTACAGAGGGGTTGAAAATAAACACGATCAAACCGAGCGAACAGTCAAAAGAGATTTAGATGATGTTGTCATGACGTTGACATGAACGTGCCTGTTTTTTGGCAGATAATCCTCACAAAGAGAACCCTCCGGGCTACACGCAGCCGCACAGGCAACATGGCTGTCTCTGTTTGTTTCTGGAGCACCTCAGCTCGCAGTTTGTCATGTCTGACTCGGGCTTTAATTAGGCCTGCAAATTGAAGCTGGGAGCCCTCTGTCCACAGCTCAGCCGTCCTCCACAGCGTCTCCTCGGAGGACCTCTCTGCTCTGTGTGGTTAAGATAATAGCGGCTCGCTCAGAAGATGTTAATTGAGGGGAGATAAAGTGCAGTAGTGGCTGGAGGGATGCAATGTGCGGGGGCGAAGGGGAAGGAGGGAGGGCTACCTGATTAGAGGCCGAGGTGTTTGACTTACAGCTCGTATTTTTGGTGATATACGTGCTGCTGGAGTTTCAAAAAGGGGTAGGAGGAAAATACAGGAGCAGCATGCATCAAAACACCCAGACCCAGAAGACAGTTATTAAAGTTTCTCCTGAGTCGTTCGTGTTGTTTGGCGAGCTAACCTAGAAAGACCCGATCAAGGCCGGGGATATTAATATATTTGATATATCTCAGCAGGGTTGGGGTAGTTACTCAAAAACAATAATGCCTTACCCATTACCCATTACTAGTTACTGTTTGAAAAAGTAATGCCTGACTTTATTAAATTACTCACTGCTGAAAGTAATTAGTTCCATGCATGCTGGACTACTCTGATTGTAACATCACCTGAGATGCACTATTAGTATTAGTCAAATAACAATATAAAGATAAACCACATTTATTGCACCAATCCTTAATCTAATAAGGACAATACTGATCACAAGACGTCTGTTTTCTGCTCTTTGTTTGAACATCAGCCATGTTGTTTGGCTCAGTTTTCATCATAGTAATTCAGTTACAGACAAACATGTACTATGCAGTAATGCATTACCCCCCATCAGTAGCTCCTGGAGCAGGTTGTAGTTGTTGGAGTTTGGTGGAGCTGCAGATAGGTAGGGAAGGAGGCAGACTCTCAAGGTGGTGGCAGAACTGATCTGACCAACAGCAGCTGAAGTGACAGAAGCTGCATTAATAGTGGCATATGTCTGGAGTGTGGAGAAACTAAAAGGGAGAGAAAACAGACCCTCCACCGGCCCGGGAGAGAGGGACGGAGGGACCGGGGAAAGACGAGGGGAGGACGGGGGAAAAAAAGCTGAAAACAGCGCCAGCAGCCGCTATAATTGCCTCAATGCCACTGGGATTGCTTTCATTCAATTGAAGCGCTCTCTTTCTCTGTACATTGGAAGGTGTGTAGGGGAGGGCGGGGGGGGGGGGGGTCTGGTGGCGTGGGCGGGGTGGGAGGTCCGACCATGCCCTCCCTCTTTCGGTAACATGCAGCGATGAGGAGCGGATAGCTCCCCTGTAGCTGCTGAATCTCTGGCATCAGTGTGAGCAGTAGAGAAAGAGTGAGAGAGCAAGCGGGTGAGAGATAGTGAAGAGAGGGGGGGATGAGAGAGTGAGAGAGAGAGCTGTGGGAGAGTGAGGTAGCGATAAGGAGGTAGGTGGACCGCAGATCAGACCTGTCAGATGTGATTGCGCGCCCAAGTGCAGCCCTGCATGTGAGTGTGTGTGTTTTTATATTTCCCAAAGACAACCCCCCCTCCACTCATTTCAACACACACAAACACACACATACACACACACACAAACATACACACACACACACACATATACACACACATACACACACATACATACACATGCACACACACACAAACACTACCCACACACACACATACACATACACACACATACACACACACACACACACAAACATACACACCCACACACACATATACATACACACACACAAACATACACATGCACACACACACAAACACTACCCAAACACACACATACACACACATACACATACACACACACACACACACACACACACTTACACGCACACACACACACACACACACACACACTTACATGCACACACACATACACACACACACACACACACACACACACACACACACACACACACACACACACACACACACACACACACACATTCCTCGAGGAATCCTTTATTTCTTTATTTGGGCTCCTGATGGTGCGTGCAGTGGATGCTCTGCTCCCTCCTCCTCCTCCTTCTTCTTCTCCTCCTCCTCCTCATCCTCCTCCTCCTCCTCCTCCTCTTCCCTCTTTGCCGCTCTCACAGCCTAGTTTTCTTTTTTTTCTCCTCTTCAATCTTGTGCGTGCAGGTTGTATCTGACGGAGGGACCGGTGCCGGGCTCCCATCCCCACGCTCCTTCAACAACAACACTGTGAGTATTCTCATGCTAATTTGGCTTTTCTCCAGCCTTCCCCTCACGTCGGTTTGTCTTTTTCCCTTTTCGGCTTTCATTTCCTTGCCTTCTTTTATGTTTTCATCCGCCGCGCCAAATGCAGCAGCAGCGCGGGAAAGGGAGGAGAAGAAGTGGAGACAAAAAGGAATGTACAGAAATAGAGAGAGGAGAGGAACAGGGGAGGGGGAAAATGAGACAAGGGGGAAAGAGATTGCCGAAGCTTCCCATTCTGCTTTCGGAGGTGTTTCTCCTGGAGGATGGTGGAATTGCCGGTGGGATGTAGGGGGCGGGTCTTGGTTTTGTGAGTAGATAGTTGTGCGGGAATGATAGGGGATGTTGTTGACAAGCATAGAGTGGCTCATCAGACAGCCGGGCAGCTGGAACCAAGGTTTTCTCTGTTGACTACACTTCTGATTCATCCGTCACTTTTTATATTTACACACAAAGAGACACCTCCCTGATGTGTCTGAGATGTCCATCTCCTTCTTTTTTCACTCTCATTTTCTATTATTTTGAACTTTTATGGCATGCAGTCATTCCTCATGACGCTGTATCATTTGTGCAGATGGGAGATGGATTATTGTCAAGATGTATGTATATGTGTGTGCCATACATCTTATGCACTTAGTTATAATGACAACAGTAGCAGCCGCACTAATGAGCATTTTTCATTCAACATTTGCGCCCACACATGTGTGTCTGTCTATCAATACATGTGGATTTCAGCTTTTGTGTATTTGCCTCCGACTTGAATTATTATGCATTCTCAGTATTGAATACACACACACATATAATGTATGTGTGTTTGTGTGGGAAACATTGATGTTAAGCTGATCTTATGCCACAGTAACTTGAAATGGTTTTGTTTCATTTGAACCTTTTCTGATAAATCATGGATGGCTATAGCATATTTTCATGCATTACATTACAGTTAGCGACTTACTTACTACTGTATGTGTGTGTGTGTGTGTGTGTGTGTGTGTGTGTGTGTGTGTGTGTGTGTGTGTGTGTGTGTGTGTGTGTGTGTGTGTGTGTGTGTGTGTGTGTGTGTGTGTGTGTGTGTGTGATCTTGAGTTGCTCATATGCCCAGTAACTTAACATGGTTTTGTTTCATTTCAACCTTTTCCGATAAATGTAATTCAAATAGTATATGTTATGCATTACAATACCTACTGTGAGTATCAGTTAGTGTGTGTGTGTGTGTGTGTGTGTGTGTGTGTGTGTGTGTGTGTGTGTGTGGTTGTGTGTGTGTGTGTGTGTAGGTCAGTAAGTCAGTGTCCTTTCCCACACGCTGCCCTTTGATCAAAGGGCCACATTCAGTTCGCCCACGGCATGTGTCTGAGCCATATGAAGAGTGGGTGTACTCCCTGTGTGCGTGCATATGTGTGTGTGTGTGTGTGTGTGTGTGTGTGTGTGTGTGTGTGTGTGTGTGTGTGTGTGTGTGTGTGTGTGTGTGTGTGTGTGTGTGTGTGTGTGTGTGTGTGTGTGTGTGTGTGTGTGTGTGTGTGTGTGTGTGTGTGTGTGTGTGTGTAGGCTGAGATGGATAGGCCCTGTGCCCTCACTGAAATCGCCATGGCTAATAGGCACGCGGGCCAGCGGGGATGGACACACATCCGACCGGGCTGGGTTATGTCACGGAGACCAAACACCTCTCACCGGTCTTCGTCAGGAGTCACGAAAACACAAATCTTTGTAAGAGAAAAAGCATATTGGGCCAACAAATTGCTCGCAACACACTTTGGCAGATTCATTTGGCAGAGTAAAAGGGATTGATCTGAGCATGGCAATTAGGCAAATTTCAGAACTAAGCATCTGGCGAGGCGAGAACGCTTCGCCTGGCAGAGGATTACCATTTTAGTTCCATTTTGAGACGACGCAGCCCAGAATGTGTTATTTCACAGCACTCCAGCAGCACAGGCGAACGCGGCACATGAGGGATCTTCGTGCGGTGTTTATGTTGTGTATGTTGATTTCACGACCTGCAAAGTAAGAGTAGTGCTTTGATTAATGACAATTAAGTTTAATATGTGTGTTTGCAGCCGTTACGGCCCGACTTCCCTTTATGAAAATGAATCGTCGGGGTAAAATGCCTGGGATGATAGCAGCCTGCCGATGAGCTTGCTTTCTGAAGTAGGCTGATATAAATGAGAACCATTCCCCCAATTACGGAAGATTAGGTTACCCTCCACCAATCTGAATCCTTAAATCCCTTCTGTTTTTACAGCTCTGTCTGCCGAATGTAATTCAGCCGCGAGACCTGGGCAGAATAGCAATAAAAGAAAGGTAGAAACTTTTGCAGTGAAACCCAGTCAGTAAAAATATCCGGTGGGAGAGAGCTAAAGCACAGGATAATTGACACAGTGCTGTGTTGCACTTGGCTGTAATTAACTGTGCAACAGAGGTTGTCAGTTGGAAAGGGAGAAAGCCCAGACTTATCTTAGTGCGTTTAACACACTTAAAAGTGCAACATTTATCGTGTCTTCCCAGCTTTCTCCGGGGGAGCGTTTCAGGTTAGCCTCTCCGCTGCATTCATCCAGATCTTTTACAGGCCCAGTCAGACATTATACTTCCGTTATCCTTACCACCACAGTTTGAACACAAATTCAAAGGAGCAATTGTTTTTCTAGGGCGAGCGGAAAAAAAAAAGAACAAAAAAAAGCTTATCTATTTTTAGTGTGCTTTTCCTCATTGTTGCCTGGGCCACGATTCATGCTTACGTCTAGTGGTTGTGTGCCATAAACTATGTTGTGCTTCGCAGCCAGGCGCTGGCTGGTGACAACTCTCACCCACACATTAGTGATCTATGAGCCATATACCACCGGCCCCCTGCCGCCTCGCCAGACGCTTTCCAACGCACAGGACCACAACAATGTCATTCCCCCTCGTGTGATAGCACCCATATGTGTCGAGAGCACCTGTATTAGCGTAATGCGCCAAGCGTTTATTTCTCATCACTTATCACAACCCGCTACATGATGTACCGAAAAAAGGGGCGGGGGGGAAGCTCATAAAGATAAGAATCACATTTCACTAGAGGGTGCTTGTGTGACAGTGATATATGCTGTGAGCATCCTGCCACCTCATTGAGATGGGAGTGAGTTCTGGGTGGCTAAATCAATTTGTGCAAAGGCTGATGGCGCTCGTATTGGTGTCGTGATATGATCTTTGTCGTCCATTTTTAGAGGTCAGCGCGAGCAAAACAACAAGGGCAAAATAATCTGACCGCTTTCTCTCTTGTTTCAAGCCTCGTAAATGATCTCGCCCAAGAGGATTGTGGGTAAAGTCGCTCTTGTTTGTTTTTTTTCTCCCCAGGTTTAGACACTATGGATTCTCTATTAAGAATGTACTTTCATCCATTACCGCACGCGTCCTGATAGAGTGTCCAGACCCAGAGGCGAGCGCCGTCCGTGCATTAATCGCTGTAATTACTCAATGAGGGTGACAGTCATTCTGGTGGTGCGTCTCACACTATATACCAGTAAAGGACTGGGGGTGGGTTGTGGTAGACCAGTCGATAGGTGAACCTGACTCCCTCTAATGTTAAAGATCTGTCTATGGGCAGGAAAAAAAAGAGAGGAAATGCTTTAAGATGTGTCAGCAAGTTAGGCAATTTCCTCTTGTCTATCTCATGAGGTATGACATTGTGTGTGATACCGTAGAAAAGCCATAATATTAGCTGGAAATAACACAGCTTTAACAAATGATGTTCAGCCCATTTTTATGTGTTTCATATATCAAACCCAATGATTAACCCTTAAATGGTTTCTGTATACTGAGGGATACAGTCATTTGTCAAGCTGTGTCAATGTATTTAATGGGTGTAGCATTGGTGTTACCCAGGTCTTATAACACTAGTATAGGTCTACTAACAGTTTAATATAGGTGTCACATGGGTATAATATGGGTGTACTAATGATGTTACATGGGTGTCATAGGGGTGTATTCATGTTTAATATGGGTGTAATGTGGGTCTAACAAGAGTGTAACTTGGGTGTTATAGCAGTGTAACATGGGTATAATATAAATATAATACAGGTGTTATAATGGTGTAACATAGTTGTCAAAAGGGTGTATTGATTTGTAGTAATATGGGTCTAATAACAGTGTCATATGGGTGTAATAACAGTGTAACATGGGTACAATAAGGGAGTAATATTAGTGTAATAATATTGTAACATGGGTAGCTATGGGAGTAATAATGGTCTAACATGGGTGTTATAGGGGTGTATAATGTGTAATATGGGTCAAACAACAGTCTAATATAGGTGTAATAAAAGTGTTGTTTAAAAAAAAAATCAATTGATAATCCCGTGTGTGTGTGTGTGTGTGTGTGTGTGTGTGTGTGTGTGTGTGTGTGTGTGTGTGTGTGTGTGTGTGTGTGTGTGTGGTGTGTGTGTGTGTGTGTGTGTGTGTGTGTGTGTGTGTGTGTGTGTGTGTGTGTGTGTGTGTGTGTGTGTGTGTGTGATTGCCCATTTAAGGGTTAACGGATGCAATCAAATTACATACAAAAAGAAGAGGCAAAGTTCACTTCAGTTTCACCATGGAAGACGTCAGAGTGCCGGCCACACTCTTTGACTGACTTGTGATCTCTGGGAAGTGCAGTGCAAAATCACCACAGCAACGACTGCTTAGCAACAAAGATGTTGCTACCATAAAAAAAGAAAGACAAACCAAACAAAGAAAAAAACAACAACAAAAAAAAGGAGATTTAGGAATTTGTCAGTTGATTTAGTGCGTCGGGATGTAATTCTGCCGCATTTGTTTTATGGCGCGGACCGCTGTGGCGTGTGCCGGACAGATGTTCAGTGTGAGAGATGATCGTAAAGAAAAGGAGGCGAGTGGTCAAATCAAGGCTGTCAAGTCAGGGAAATAAAAAGCGGAGGAGGGAGAGCTAAACATGCTGCAGCTTTGAAGGATCCTTATTGTCTGTACAAGGGCAACAGAGTTACTCTTTGTGTTGCGCCGCTGCAATGTGGGCT